TCCCCAACATATTTTTCGAGCACTGGCCCTCTATTAAGCGGGCACCCTCCAGGACATCTTCAAAGTAATGTTCTGGCATGTTAAGGTCCTTGCCTTCGGGTGGACTCTATGCTGCAATATCAGTGGCCTTCATCCTCGCCCAGTATATCTTGACACGGGCAAGGGCCATCCGTGCACCCTCTATGCACGTTGACCGCTTCACAATGTTGATGCGCGGCACCGCATTAACAAGTTGCCGCACCAAACCAAAATAACTATTCAGAATGGGTTTCGTTGGCCATAGCCAGGCTATGACGTCCTTCATGGCAGTGCCGGACATCCTGTGGAGCTCGACCCACTGGGCCATCTGTTCGTTCAACAGCGGACGCTTCGGCGCGTCAAACTGCGACCAAAATAGCTTTTCTGTATCGGCAGCGTGTCCTTCTTGCGCGTGGAAAAACTGGTTCGCATTGGCAGCACTCTTTGGCGGGTCCATAAAGGCGTCTGGAGGACTCCACAGTTGATTAAGCGGCGCATACTTCGGATCGCCAAACTTAGTTTGCAATAAAAAGGGCTTACCAGCCGTGATCTCCCCAGCTTGTCGGATCTCCTCCCGAGCTGCTCTAGACTCAGACCGGGCTTCCTTCGCCTCTTGTAAGGCCTTGTCAAGATCGGCTACTTTGGCTTTGTTATATTTCTCAAGAGCTTGGCATCGGCTGGCGACATTCTTCAACTCAAGTGCCATGGTAGATATCCTCTCCTCGCACTGACGCCGAGCAGTCTGCTCGACTTTTAATTCGGCGGCTATCTTCTCGACAGCTGCATTACTCATCCTGGCTTGTTCCTTGGCCCGAGCAAGTTCTGCCCGAAGGGTCTCAACTGCGATGACACTATCCCCAGTTATGCATTTACAAATTTTCAGTATCACACTCATTTCACAATACTCGCATGTACTGAGTGCCCTAGAGACATACCTTGCGCCTCGTTGAGCCGCCTGTTAATAAGCGTGATGTCATCATCCGCCACATCAACTTTTTGCTTCAAATGTGCTACCTCGATAGCTTGGGCAGTCCCCACGGATGTAACAACATGTGTTTCAATTAGTCATATCAATTCCTGGGCATATATTTTTGATCCTCTGATCGCATCCCTTTGGATGTCAACCAGAGTCTCAGGGGCTACTATCTATACGCAGGTGCAATTTTCACTTATAATATAATTGAAATTACACTATGTACCTCGAAGCCTCTTAGTAGGCTAGAAAAGGCTTCATTCAATCTGCTTTTCGTGGACCGAACTCTTTCCAACACTGTACCCATCAAGGTATGATGTTCCTGTGAGACAGAGGCATATTGAAAAATGTCCATCAATGTATCCGACGTCCCTTGGACATTCGATAGTCCGGGACTCTTGTTGTTCCCTGTAGGGGCCGCACACCCCGGACCCTGGGTGGCCAAAGTATTACCTTCGGCCCCGGTCCTCACTGTCCCTTGCCCCACTCGCAGATCGGGAAGGATACTCCGGGATGACACCTCGGCGTCGTCCACCTTATCGGGCAGGGGGATCTGTGGAGGCGTCTCGCTCTCCATCATCTCCGGAAGTAGATCCCCCAAAGAGGAGGACTGTTGAGGAGGGCTGCGTGCCAAGCTGCAAACATATGTTTAAAATATTACCCTTATAGCCAGGAAAGAACGGGACATGTTTAAAACACCCAGATTCACTTACGATTCGGCTAAGGGCCTATCTTTACGGGGTGACTGCGTGTCAACACCGCCCCCTGACTGGGATACCTTCCCCCACTTAGAAGCTTCTCTTTTCGAGTCTTCGGAGGCGGCCCTTTCCTCCCAACGGGGAGAAGGGACGTCAGTTCGCCCTTCCCTTCCACTTTTGGAGGTGGAAGTTCTAATCTCCCCGGACAAATTGCCTGGTGCGCCTCCAGAGTGGAAGCCGCCTTGGGCCTCTTCGTCCTCCTCCTTATCTTCCCCCGCTGGCACTTGATATGGCGCCGGAGCCAGCATCCTTGTTAATAATGAATTGGTAGTGTCTTCGGGAAGTGGAGCCGAACACCTGATTCTCTCCACCTTCTTTTGCCAGCCCTGGACGAATAGAGTTTATCAGTACATTGTCATGAATAATTCGACTAAGCCGTGTTCGGGGGTCGAGTACTTACCGGAGTATCCAGATGGTTGCAGTCAAGACCAATGTCTTCTGTAGTATCCGGCCACTGTTTTCGTGTGTCGAAGAACAATTTCCACATCTCTCTAAGAATCGTGCCAGAGAGGTGCTAAAGGGTCCGTGGACCTTCCAGATTAAACTCCCACATGCGGAGAGGGCATCACTGACAGGGTATGATCCGGCGGACTAGCATTACTTAGATTACGTCGATGAGACCGGTGTCCTTCTCAATGAGGCTCCGAATACGGATTTGCAGCATCCGCACTTCATCAGTAGGTCCCCAGTCCAGCCCCTTGTTAATCCACGATGCGAGCTGTGGCGGAGGGCCGGATCGAAACGCAGGTGTGGTTGCCCGCTTTTTACCGCGGGGTTCGGTGATGTAAAACCACTCCCATTGCCATAAGTCAGAAGATTCCGCGAAGGAGCCCTTTGGCCAAGTGGAGTTGATAAGCTTGCTTATTGAAGTGCCTCCGCACTCCGCTTGTTTCCTGTCGATTACCTTCGGTTTCACGTTAAAGGTCTTAAGCCATAAACCGAAGTGTGGGGAAATACGGAGGAAGGCCTCGCACGTGGTGCTGAACACCGAGATGTGGAGAAAGGAGTCCGGGGCTAGATCATGGAAATCTAGACCGTAATAAAACATAACCCCTCGAACGAAGGGATTGAGAGCAAACCCGAGCCCTCGAAGGAAGTGAGAGATAAACACGACCCTCTCATTGGATCTGGGAGTAGGAATAACCTGCCCTTGAGCAGGAAGCCTGTGGTAGATTTCCGCCGTCAAGTATCTTGCCTCCCTGAGCTTCGAGATGTCTTCCTCTGTGACAGAAGAGGCCATCCACGATCCTGAAGGACGGGTCCGGACATGGCTGGAAGCTCGAAGCGGCTGGATTGACCCTTGGGTGTTGGAACTTGAGGTGGGAGTGGAGGAAAGAACTAGCATAGAAGAAAGAGGACATGCCTTAACCCCTTTATAAAGGCGACGACTATCAAGCGTCCCCTCCGTGGCCTTAAAACATGCCTATTCCCGAGGAATTATGCCAACAGAACTGTTGGGTTACCCACGCCCGTGTTGATGAAAATTCCGTAATAAGGGGACACGATCTCTGCTTTGACAAGACGTGCCAATAAAAAACTGCCCCCGAAACATGGGGGGGCAGGTTAGGAAACGATTCAAAATAATGGACGAGTAGTGACGTAATGTCGTGCTGCCAAAATTGTCAGCGGATTAGACTCGTAAATATTATACCCTCTACGGTTGTTTGTGAAACTTGTTTTGCAGAGCCGGACACGATTCTTGTGTTCGAAGATCTACTTTGAAGTATTCGGAGAAGGACCCGCCTTGCAATGCCGAAGACAATCTGCGCGCCGGACTGATCGTCATTGAAGCCTGGTTCAGGGGTTACTGAGGGAGTCCTGGACTAAGGGGTCCTCGGACAGCCGAACTATATACTTGGGTCGGACTGTTGGGCTATGAAGATACAAGATAGAAGACTTCGTCCCGTGTCCGTATGGGACTCTCCTTTGCGTGGAAGGCAAACTTGGCGATTCCAATATGTAGATTCCTTTCTCTATAACCGACTTTGTACAACCCTAGTCCCCCCCGGTGTCTATATAAATCGAAGGGTTTAGACTTCTAGGGTTTAGCCACAACCATCATAACCTCATAGGCTAGACTTCTAGGGTTTAGCCATTACGATCTCAGTGGTAGATCAACCCTTGTAATACTTATATTCATCAAGATCAATCAAGCAGGAAGTAGGGTATTACCTCCATAGAGAGGGCCCGAACCTGGGTAAATATTGTCTCCCCCGCCTCCTGTTATCATTAGCCTTAGACGCACAGTTCGAGACCCCCTACCCGAGATCCGCCGGTTTTGACACCGACAACCGGCGCTCGCTGCTCGCCAGAAACGCCCTCTTAGCCGAGCCATCACAACGCCGCCACCACACCTGGCCAGTAGCTCGCGCCGTCGCGCCTGTTCACCACCACCACATCGCTGCCCGTCTTCGCCAGGACCACCTCTCCACCACGCCTCCTGCCGTGTGCATCCCTCGCCGGGGACAACACATCCACCAGCGCCACCATGGCGCCCAGCGGCAGCAGGGCTACGACAACTCCCCACCACGCCTAACAGCGGCCACAGCCCGAATCCCGGCACCCAGATCCAGCCAGGGGATCCTGAGCCCCAGGCTGTACCAACCGTCAAGGCAGCACCCCTGGTCGCAGGCGCCCCACCACCACCGGCGCCGAGCAGGGCCACCGCCGAGCCTTCGCCATGCCGCACCGCCAAGGGCATTAGCAGCCAGATCCGAGTCGACATCCGGGGAAGGGAGAGGAGCTGCGTCGGGGTGATGCCCCGCCGCCGCCGGCATTGCCAGGTCTTTGCTGCGCAATGGCCCATGGCGGCAGCGAGGGAGGAAGGCGGGGAAGGGGACCGGCGGTGGGGGTGCTAGGGTTTCCCCAGGGAGTCGGGAGGAAGAAGGGGAAAGTGCTGGGTCTCACCGGCGCTTTCGTAGATGCTCTTAAACCCGAGTCCTCGATCTTCCAATCTCCAACGGCTTGTATGCCTACGTCAAAGCCTGCCACGCTCGCACTATTTACTATACCTGACAACGTTGTGTATTGACCTATTTGCCCTTCTCTGCTCCTTTCCTGTGAGATTTCATCCACCTTTTCCACTCTCGAAGCTTACCTCACAGTAGCTAGTCCCCAGAGCTTCAGCTCACTCACTATCTTCGTCCTCCTCCCAACCACCACCAAGTCCCTCCCAAATCCCGCCGCGGAGCTCACAACATCCAAGAAACCACTCACGGGCAGCTTGGCGCCCCACGGATCCAGGCCCCGCGATGGCCGCCTGGGCGGCGCTCCTGGCCGTCGTCCTGGCGCTGTCGTGCGCGCGGGAGCGGCGGCTCCTGGTGGCCGACGCGGCCGTGGGGGTCAACTGGGGCACCCTGTCGTCGCACCGCGCGCCGCCGGCGGTGGTGGTGGACCTCCTGCGCGCGAACCGGATCGGGAAGGTCAAGCTCTTCGACGCCGACGCCGGCGTGCTGCGCGCGCTCGCGCGCAGCGGCATCGAGGTCATGGTCGGCCTCACCAACGGCGAGCTCGCCGGCATCGCGGGGTCACCGGCGGCCGCCGACGCCTGGGTCGCGCAGAACGTCTCGCGCTACGTCGGCCGCGGCGGCGGTGTCGACATCCGGTGAGTGAGTCCCGGCGCTTGGCTTGGCGATTTTTCTTGAGATCTCAAGCGGCGAAGCATTTTAGCATCAGTCATGATTCTTATTTCGGGATTCCTGTTACCTGAGTGGGAAATACAGAATGCATTATTTGAGGTTATTTCTGCTGGAAAAAATGGGGTCGTGGGATCTGCAGCTCAAGTGGAAAAGGGAATCTGGTGCCGACTTGATTGAATTTGTTTCTAACTAGGCGTTCTCTTCACTTGTAGTCTTCTCTTGAAAATGTAGTATGTACTCCCTTTCGTTCCTGGAAAATATGACTAGTATTTGCTTTAGGGTACAATAACGGCAAAACCTGTCATTTTTCTTGATTGATTATAATGTACGTTTAGACTTTAAGTTCTTACTAAGGCTATACCCATAACCTACTTATCCCAACCCAAATGATTACTTTTAAGTCCACTGAATCACCTACATACTTTATAGTACTAATAAACATCACCTGTAAACTATGAGTCAGTATCACATGATTTATATCTATCAAAACTTCAAAACCAGATTATATTCTATTTTTAAAGATGAGGGTGAGTATGTTGTTGGAACTTGGAAGTACCTTTGAAATACGAATGGTAACTCCATGCTCAGTCAAGGTGGATTCTATATGTGTATGGAAGGGTATACCCATATATGAGTAGTCAAAAATATGTCATGGATATCTTTTTAAGTCGTCGGGGTTGATGCGAGCCCTAGATTTAGTCTGATGACATGCTTGCTAATCATCATTATCCTGTTTGAAGACTTTACTTCGTACATTACATTGAAAGATTAAATGAACAAGTGCAATACCACACTGTGATCAAATTCTGCTTTAGGCTATGGAATCCCGGGAACAATTGTACTCAGCTTTCTGTAATAATCCCTATCTGCTGCTAGCATGGCAACATTGAAAAAAACATCAGAAATTCTACTTGAGTGCCTTCAAGTAATTTAGATTGTCCAATTATTTCTGTCACTGGATACTCTTTGTTTTTCACTGATCACAGATTTGGGTTCAGAAGATTTGCTAATTTAGGTTACGATAATGTTGGACTGAAGTTATGATGGCGTGTTGTAGATAAAAACTTCCATGTGTGATAGTCTTTGTGTTTTAATTTGCCAAATTTCATGTACAATAGTAAATAAGATCTGTGTAGTCCTGGGTGACGTCATTTATCCTTTTATCCATTTACGGGCACATGACTATTCGGTTTTTTACTATTCCATACTTGTTGACTGCGTCGAGAATTAATAATTTACAAATTTGATACAGGTATATTGCTGTGGGAAATGAGCCATTTCTGACAAGCTACCAGGGTCAATTTCTGTCATACGTTATTCCAGCAATGACAAACATTCAGCAATCACTGGTGAAGGCTAATCTTGCTAGCTACGTGAAACTAGTAGTCCCGTGCAACGCCGACGCATATGAGGGTGCCGTTCCGTCGCAAGGAGTGTTCAGGACTGAATTGACCCAGATAATGACCCAGCTCGCCGCTTATCTCAGTTCAAATGGAGCTCCGTTCGTGGTCAATATCTACCCATTCCTCAGTCTTTACCAGAATTCCGACTTCCCAGAAGATTATGCCTTCTTTGAGGGATCAACTCATCCACTTGTAGATGGCTCCAACGTGTACTACAATGCTTTCGACGGCAATTTCGACACGTTGATTTCTGCTCTGGGTAAACTCGGCTATGGGCAACTACCCATTGCAATTGGCGAGGTGGGTTGGCCGACTCAGGGAGCACCAAGTGCAAACTTGACTGCAGCAAGGGCATTCAACCAAGGACTCATCAACCGTATCATGAGCAACAAAGGGACTCCTCTCCGCCCTGGTGTACCCCCGTCTGATGTCTATCTTTTTGGCCTTCTTGATGAGGAGCAGAAGAGTGTACTACCTGGAAACTTTGAGCGACACTGGGGGATCTTTTCATTTGATGGACAGGCCAAGTACCCGTTAAACCTTGGGTTAGGCAACCCAGTTCTGAGGAATGCTAAAGAGGTGCCCTATCTTCCGTCGCGGTGGTGCGTCGCGAACCCGGCTCAGAGCCTGGACAAGGCGTCAACTCACTTGAAGCTTGCTTGCGACATGGCGGATTGCACCACTCTCTACTACGGAGGGTCGTGCAACGGCATCGGGGAGAAGGGCAACGTTTCCTTTGCTTTCAACAGCTACTACCAGATGCAGAAGCAGGATGCCAAGAGCTGTGACTTTGATGGGCATGGGATGATAACTTTCCTTGATCCATCCATGGGTGAATGCCGCTTTCTTGTTGGCATCGATGATAGCAAGAGCTCTGCGGCCGCCTCTTGCGGCCATTGCTGCGGGGTCTTGTGTGGGGTGTCGATTTTCACTTTGTGGGTGTTCTTGTACCTTAGGATGATGGGCTCTGCTTGACGTTGGAAATGGTCTGTTGGGGCATGATAAGCGTGCTTTGTTAAATATACTAGCTTGTACGCTTGACTTCTAGATGACTAGATATGAATCCTAGATTATCGTGAGATTATTGAAGAGGCAATTTTTAGTCATATATGGAGATTAATTTATTGTTTAAATTTCTATCTGCAAGTAGTCATGGTGAGTGGTCATGATTTGATGTAGCACCGGAATGAAGCAGTAATTCTGTAGGAGCCAAGAGATGTTTATTTCTGGAAACTAATAGAGACTATTACATGCTCACAGAAGAGCAGGTAAGTATAAGTATAACACCATTCCCTCTGGAATATTTTTATTTTTATTTTTTGCTTCTGTATTACAGATGAACAAGCCTGTGCATCATTTTTTTCAGCCTGCGGATGGCGGTGGAGCGGGCGGGCAGCAGTTGTTGCCGCAGCAGGCGTGGCCGCAGGTCCTCGTCGGATGCTGCACGATCCAGCAGCACTGGCACGCTGAAACGAAACGGAGTGCATCCAAAAAATTGAAGAAGCCATGAAGATGATGTGAGCATGCCAACAGCAGGCAGAAGAACATGACTGTCTAACTAGCCCAGGTTGAAAAGGAAAAAAAAGAGAGAGAAGAGCTGAACTCATGACTTACGCAGTGAAGCAGTGGCGGTTGTGATGAAGAGCGCAAGCAGAAGCAGCATGAGCCAGGACGCCAGGGCAAGGAGAGTGTTCCTCCTCATGCCTCCTGTTCTGTCTGCTGTTTCCCCCTCTTGATATGCTTCACGGTTGAGGGCTTTCAGGGGATCTACGTGTTTGCAACACAAGGAGATGTGGTGGTAGTCACTTATTTTGAGATGAAGGGAGTATATATATAGGCGTCCGTGTATGGCCTGGCTCGACTCGTGATAAAGATCCGGCCCAGCCGCTTTGCTTGACTTGGACTGATTGATATGCCGACTGCCGCAGTGTATATGTTGGACTTGACATCGCAGCGTATGTGGACCCCGTGTCGACTAGTCATGCTGTCTAAGCGCATGTACAATGATGACGTATGAATACAGATGCTTCATGATAAAAAATAGTTTGGGGCATCTACATTTTTTTTCTGAATGCAAGCTATCACTTAGTGAGACTCATTAAGAAATAGAAAATAAAATATTTACTACACATGCATCTCTACTTTTCACTTCAACCTTTTCAGTTTTTGTCACCGGACCATATTTTTTCTCTTCAAGCACCTGCCTCCTGCAGAGGATCACGCTTCCCTATCCGAATCTACTTTACATGATATCCGATCCTACATGGCATGCGAAGCATCACCCTGGGGCTATGCATTGTACATGCCCTAAGAGCATGTACAGTTAGGCTCCTCAAACCCCGGGACGGTCATCATGACGCAATCGGTCTCCTCAAACTGCTTTATACGTTTGGAGTGACCCGCACCCCCCCATATCTGATGCTGATATGAGAGGCATGGGTGCGTCTGCCACTTTGGATTGGCGTGAGGGACCCACCCAGACACCCGTAATTACCAACAGTCCGATAAGGATGCTGCTTCGGTGCGCTACCCGAGGGGCAAATCCGATTATTTAAGCCAGATGGAGACCCCCAACCTCAACCAGTCCCATTTTCCCTCCCCTTCGTGTTGCCACTTCCCATCCACTCAGAGCTCGCCGTCCGTCGGTAGTGATGGCCCGGTAGTGGATCACCACCTACATCATGCTTATTTTGGAGCGCCGGTTGGTGCTCCTAGCGGAGATCCAGGCCCGACACGCTACTTGAATTGTAGCCAACCTGCTAGAGGAGGAGGATGAGGAGAAGGAACAGGTGCTGGACGCGGACATGGAGGAGGAAGAGGAGGAACACAAGGCAAATCTGGCGTCCTCGGCTCCTAGATTCGTCATGGGCGACGCGCAAGCGGAGGAGGCGGTGGAGTAGCAGGCCATCCTCGACTCCATCCAGCCAGAGGCGGAGGTGGAGGGCCAACCGTCGCTTCCTCCGTGAGGTGCAGACAGAGCGCGACGAACTCTTCGTAGACATGGAGTCAGACGAGGAGCCGAAGTTGCACGCGGCGGCCAACGACCAGGAGGTCGGTCTATCCGGTACTGCCGACACAAAGGTCTCCGATGACAAGTAGTAGAAGGATAGTTTCTAGGTATGTAGCTTTTGTGTTGCATGATGTAATATGGATTTATAGTGTGATATTTGAGGTATGTGGTTACAATGGATGAAAAATAAAAGGGTGGTCGGGCCCTCTCCACAGACATCCCAGGACGCACCACACACATATGAGGTGTCAGTTTTGTGATATGCGGATGTAGAAGCTCTAAGAGTTTACTCTAAGAGTTTACATCAAAAGAAGCACAATCTTGTTTTGGAAACTTGTGGGGGGTTCTTTGGTTCAAATGATTTTCATAGAAATTTTAATAAGTCCTACAGAAATTTCTCCTATGGTTTCTTTACACTATATCCCATGCCTGTGTTTTTTCATCGCTTATGTGAAGCACATTAGAATCCGGTAGTTAGAAAAGTCATCACAAGGGGAATTTAAAACTTACATTGGAAAACCATTTTCAGAATGTTCGCCCGTTGGGGTAGGGTGACACCATTCTTCTGTGGCATGACAATTGGCATAATTAGCCCTGATTCTCTAGTGCCTTGAGCTGCACTCTTGCCATTAATGATCAAGTCTCCATTAAGCACGTCGTGTCTATTGAGGATCTTCCTGAACATTTCCATATACTCCTTTCAAGCCAAGCCTATCAACAATTTTTAGAGCTTCAGGAGTGTTGGGGAACGTTGCATGGAAAACAAAAAAAAATCTACGCACACGCAAGATCTATCCATGGAGATGCATAGCTACAAGAGGGGGAGAGCATCTACATACCCTTGTAGATCGCTAAGCGGAAGCATTTATCAACGCGGTTGATGTAGTCGTACAACTTCATGATCCGTTCTGATCAAGCACCGAACGCGCGGCACCTCTGCGTTCAGCACACATTCAGCTCGATGATGTCCTCGCCTTCTCGATCCAGCAAGAGGGGCAAAGTAGTAGATGAGTCCCGGCAGCATGATGGCCTGGTGACGGTGGTGGTGAAACTATTTCCGCAGGGCTTCGCCAAGCACAACGGATTAGAGCGCAGGATGAACTAGAGGGAGAGGGGGCGCCGACACACAGCTTGGTGAATCATGGTGTGTTCTAGGGGCTAGCCCTGCTCCTCTATTTATATGTTGAGCCCTAGGGTCGTTACTTGGAGAAAGAGCCTCCTTAAAGTCGGTTTGGAATGCAAGGAAGAGTCCTTCTCGGATTCCAGCAGTAGACGCCATGGTCCTCGGCGTTTGGCCTAGACACCATGGTCCTCAGTGTCTAGCCCAGGGCCAGACGGCAGGGTCCCTGTCGTCTGGTCCCCGACCTTTGCAAAGCTTCCTTTTGCACTGAAGATGACTTGGAGTTAATTTCAACGCAAAGCTTAACGTGGATAAATCCAGGTTAACCTGGGGGCTAATGTTGGGGATATACCCCACGGTATGACCCGGCCAGGATATGACATGGCTATCAAGTGGCGGGTCATGAACAGGTTCATTATGTGGGTCGCGATTAACCATGAAGTTCAAGGCCCAAGAGGCGACTTAAAGAGAAGGCTGGCTCATGGCCCAGTATCTGGCAGGCCGGCTTAAGGAGGAAGTTATGAGGAATTTCCCTTACTTGAGAGACAAGATAAGTAGGAAGTAGACTAAGGCATGGGTTGTACTACCACCTGGATTCTATTGTAACCTCAGGGCCTTAACCTATATATAAAGGGGAGCCCCTGAGGCAGAAAGACTAAGTTACGATCAATCGAGAGCTAGGTTAGCGAATCCGCATCCTTGTAATCAAGATGTCCATCAATATCAATCAAGCAGGAGTAGGTCTTTACCTCCACCGTGAGTGGCCGAACCTGGGTAAACTTCGTGTTCTTGGTTCCCGATCAACCCCTCTCAAACGGCCACCTAGTTGTGATGGCCTCTAGACTTAATCCTTTTTTGAGACACCTGTCGTGACAAAACAACGACGGTTCTCCTGCCTCTATTACTGTCAAATTTATCCCCACGACACCCCTCCCCATCTCCAAAGGAGTGGCTAGGCTACGAGTTAAGAGCTTGTGTTCTTTGTGTGCGTGGAACGATGAGGTGAAGAATCACCGGCTCCAGCTGAACAGGGCAGGTTTAATCACGACACATTCAATGCAAGGATAAAACACATCTCCCCCATCATTTGGTGATGTCGATCAATGTGTTGGGAGATCAAACTGAACAAAATAGTTATCCTCTCTAGTTTGTGCTCTTTATACAAAATTTTCCATTTCTTTTCTTCTTTTTGTATGGGGGAAACTTCCAATCTATTTATCAAACATCATGGTAGTACAAAGAACACGAGAAGTAACAAAAATTGCATCCATGTCTATAAACCACCTAGCAACGACTACAAGCACAGTGTCAGGACCCCGATCCTATGCCACACCGATCTAGCATGTAACACCTCATATCACTTTGCGGCCTCACGCATGGTATTCCCACGGCTGTCGCCTTACTAGGCCCGGGACCATTTGCGCCTTTTGGCTCACGTATATGATAGTGTCGCTAGCATCCATGTGACAAAGAACCCGGGCTGACATGGCTAGTCATGAACCCAAAGTGGCACTAACTACAGGGACAGGCATACATGACCCAGCAACGAACGTGTCGATCAACATCGAATGAATCCCAAGTCGTAGCAAGCTACAAGGACTTAAAGGATCACCGCGTGACATTTCCCCGAAGGGACAGACACAGGAACGAAGAAGGACACATGCCGGCCAGCCTAAGTGTTCCGGAGGAGTAGCAAGCTACCATGGCTCAGTGGAAGCACTAGGAGACATTTCCCGGTAAGAGAGGCTATCAAGGATAAACAACTAGATAGTTAGATCCCACACACACCAAGCATTTCAAACATACGCACAATATGCTTGATATGTGCAAATACAACATGGCATCACAACAAAACTCTACAACTCAAGTACTTTATTTAAAAGGCTCCAGAGAGCCATACATATCATTCACACAGATAGGGGTCATACAACCATCATTCAAGTCATACAAGCATACAAGCCATAAGCAGAAGCAACATGTCTAGGTACAGACATCTAGAAAGTAAAAAGGCTTGAGGAATCCTATCTATCCTACAAGGGTCCACCATGTGCTCAGGATCACCACCTGGGCCTCAGGCTACTCGTTGACATCAAGGTCTAGGTAAAACCCATCGGAAGGGGTGTCAGTATCTTCTGCAATTGTAATTAAGCAAACATGAGTACAAAGGTACTCAACAAGACTTACATTAGATCCTACATACATGCACATTATCAATAAAAGGGATGGTGGGGTTATTGCAGCAAGCCAGCTTTGACTCTTGGCTAAACTACTTTACGAGACTCCAACTTGTAATTGTTTTGCACACTCGATTCCACTACACACCACAACAATACACTACCGAGGATCCACTCCCGTCATCCTACGGAAGTCCATCCACAGCACTCACACTTGTCTTGAGGCTTTTAATAGTTTCCATTTACTCATCTATGAACTGTATAGGCAACCAAGCAGTCCTTTATCACAGACACGAC